CCGAATATGTTATTAAAAATGTTTCATCGTCGTCCACTTATTTTAAAAGCGCTTTTTATTTGGCTCAGGTAGTCCAAAAGCTAGGTTTTCTTGAAACTCTATTTCAGAGCATTTTAGCAAAACTTCCAATTAACAAATTAAAGAGCACATCGAGAAACCCTCGTAAACCAAAGGACAGCTCAATACGATCAGGCGTTTCGAAGACAGTTTTCTCATGCAAGATGCCTGTTGATAAACACAACCACAATACTATAAGAATCGATGTCAGATCTTATAAAACTTACTATTGGATCTTCTAGGATAAATAAAAGAGTGAAAGAAACAAAGAAAATAAAGGAAAATCAGGAAAGGACAAAGAACAAGAACGCAATGATAAAAGGACGGGAGACGGTTTTTGCTGGAAAATTGCCCGATATGATTTTGAGTGGCAATTATCGGAAATGCTTCCCTTTTCACTTCCCAACACTTCCCATTTTCAAAAAATCCTTCTGATGTCTTTGAACAAAAAATTACGTTTCATTTTTCGCCATCAGTTCAACAAAAGCCATTTATCTTTTGCCTCAAATTTCTCGTCCGATTTTAAAGTCCTTGAGCAAAGCGCATACATAATAAAATAGAGAATTTTCTAGGCTTCAAAATAAGCTACAAATAGCTCCTTCGAAAATATGCCCACATGGGTCAATAGTCGAAATGCATGGCCGATATAATGATTTTCGTCCATCTTAGTGCTTTAACGGAATATTTCTTGAACTGATCTACTCAGACCCAGGATGTTTTGTATATAGAAAGATAGAAAATTTCTCAGGCTTCAAAATGAGCTATAAATAAGTCTTTCAAAAATATGCCCACATAGGTCAATAGTCGAAATACGTGGTCGATACACAGGCCGCCGCTATGTCACTGCAACTACCGGTCACTTTTTCCTATGAAACTAAGGATGATCCCTAATCATTCATACATCATTCGATACGCTCTGCAAGGTTCTACAAGTTATATTAATAGGAAACTTAACAAAGCTTGCCAGCGACTTTTGTGTATTAAATACTTCGCCACTTAAACCTACAGTGGGTCAAAAAATTATTCGTCTACCTTTATTTTTCATTTTTCTCGTCAACCATAATAGCTATAACAATTTTGAAAAAAGATTTGAACAGCTGAAAGACTTTTTGATTTGATGTGATGTATAGAAAGGTTCTATCAAAACTTCTGAAACCAAGATCTCTGGAAAACCCAAACCTCAGAAAACCAAGTCCCCGAGTTCAATCGAGAAATTCTTTGCAAGTAACTCCACCATATAGAGCAAACATTTCTGAACAAAATGAGACGTCTCCGAGCTCTGTGCAGTACTTTTTCATGAAACAGCATTCGATTTACGGAAGCTTCCGTACCGCAAAGATATCCCCTTAGGGCCTTCCGTAAATCGAATGCTGTTTCATGAAAAAGTATCGTTTGTATTATTTTCTTTCCTTGGTTTTGGGGCCAGTCGGCTTCCACAGCCGGATTCAACGAAATCGAGTTACTCGCTTACTACATTTCGTCTGTAATTTGAACAAATATAAATGGCGGGTTTTTCAAAACCTTCGATTATAAACGCAGTTGAGCAGAGGTCTCTGCAGGAAACAATATCTTGATGATGAACCCACAAATGTGTAAAATTCAATTCAATTCGTTGAATGTCATTGCCAACCATTTAATCATTTTTATTCTTGAAACAACAAAGATCAAACAATATTAGTGCTGAAGGCCTTACACTGACTGACATAAGTGGTGGTAATTCCATGAAATCAACTTTCTTCACAAAAGCAAATAATTTATATATATTGTTGAAGAAACCAAATACCCATAATTCTGTTCATGTATAAATTACCGCCCACGGTTAGTTCCTTTATGTTTTCATTGAGTAAATCGATTAGAGCCGTCGTTCGACCGTAAGTCTTTGAGAAATCGTCGAAAGCAGATGATATATGCATAGAATGGACGATGTAAGTTAAATGAGCAATTTTTTTATCATAAGCATACTTTCCGCTCAAGTACAGATAAGGAGTATTCGTACACTTCCATATGAGACGAATTTTCGATTGTTTGCGGAACAAAAATTAGAATAATAGACAGTAGAGCTGCGCTTACATCAATCCTTCCGAATTGTAGTAGAAATTCTTTCATAAATTTCATAGGGCACGACACATTTCACGTCTCATAAACCAGTTTTCATCAAACAATGTAGACACATGTGACAAAATGGAAATAACTGTTAAGTGAAGTAAATTGAACGTAACGGAAAATTGCATCGGACACACCGGTTTTCTCGTACAAATGATATATTCTATTTGTTTCGGTTTTTGTTAAAAATTGTTCAGTATCAAAGACGGAGTGCAAACGATGATCGTCAACATGGCAATAACTGTTGAATATATTCATAATGTGTATACATCTCTTTGGATCGTATAGAGAGTCTCTCAAGTTGCTGTAACATTATTAACATTTCTTTAGGAAAAATGGCGACTGTGGCGAGGAGATGCTTATCATTATTAGTGGAGTTATAGTTTCACGGGTATCTCTGTCCGAAAGACTCCCAAAAGGATTCATCTGCAAGAAGCAAATGGAAGCAGCCATTTTTTACCATACTTGCGGCGCTTCCGCTGATTTCTCTTCCGCTCAGAACTTGATAAAGTTTTTCTTCTGTAAGACCAATCTATAAGCCACAAGTATTAAGAAAAATAAAGTTTGCTTGATGTGTGGGTTTTGAGAAGAGGATCTCTGGAAATCTTCGGGTTTTTTAGATTCTGCAGATATCCACCTAAGCTAAAGCTTTTTTCTGCCGGTCTATGGTAGAGCAAACCCTTTTCTTTAAATTAAGAGCTTCACGAGCTATGGGCGATGCTTCGTTTAGAATTTAATATGAGAATTGAAGGCAATATGGAAATGGAAGTTTTCTTGGAAACCTATTTTTGATCTTAAGAACAGCTAAGAATAAAAACTGTGCGCATGCCTCAAAACGTGTCCAGACTCGTTCAAATTTTCAGAGTGTATTCCAAACAGTTTCTTTTATCGCCCAGCATCAACCAAGAGTAAGAAAAAGTTTTAGGTGTTAAAGAAGGGTTTTCAAAGATCGCTTAAAAAACCACTCCACACGTTAATGTTCCTTTGACTTTTGTCAAAATAAAATTAAAAATAAGTCAGAGTATTGCCTAGATCATAATACAAGTCTTAGTTGTCAGAAACTCATGTTTGCTATAATAAACACTCTTCTTTTTCAAAAGTAGTGACAAGAATACTCTTCACATTTAAGTTATATGAAACTCTTAGAAAAACATAAGAAAAAAACAGATAATTCTTCTTGCTGCGTTTCAACGACAAGGAATAGATACAAGATTCGAGCAGTGGACGGAGATCTGTGTTATCAGACAGTTTAGTGTAGATATGATCAAGATCGTCTTTTTTTATCAAGATTGTATTAATCATATCGGAATCACTCATAACTAATACTTTAAATAAGACCATTGCCTCTTAATGGTAGCAGCTGATTATAGCATTCAAAAAATGGTTCTAGGAAATGGATACGTGTTAGTATACGATTTAAATATGGTCCATGTGAATATACACTTTCCCTCATGTATAAAGCGAGTTGTGCTGGTTTGAGCGTTGTTTTTGTTGGTAAAAGAGAAATATCATCTCGACTAAAATCAATAAATAAACGTTTCCATTTTTGCCAAAACGTTTTATCATGTCGTTCGACTACGACAAGTAAACAGAGAACTTCTTCAATTTCATGTTGAAACGCTGTCTTCGACAATAAATCATTGTCATCATTATTTATGAAACAATTCTCCTCATAGAATATTTTTGCTACAATTTCTAAAAATGCTTTTGATACTTTGTTAGCTACTTTTGGATATCTTTTGAATACAGACTGTAACTTACTAATAAATTGGTCGTGAATGTTTATACTGTGAAATAGCATATGTGTCTCATAACTGATCAAACTTAAAACTTGATTAATATCGATTGTTAATAGTGCTTCAAGAACTGTTACGATTAAACTGTCACTATAGTCTTGCAAAATATTTAAATTTTTAATGAAATAATGTGAGCAGTAGCGTTTTTCTAGTACTTCAATTAGAAATTTGAGCCATAGTTCTAATAGTGTGACTTTAATTAAATGATCATCATCAACATGCCAGAACATTTGATCAATATTGTTCTTTTCACATAGCCACAATACACTAGTTTTCACAAAATAAGACTTAACATATAGATTATCTATAACAATTTTTCGAATAATTTTTTAATAAACTTTTCTTGCTAAAGAATTCAATAGTTTTTCCATTGGTCGACGATTTATTGCAAGATGTTTTTCAATAATTGAAAATGAATAACGAAATTCATGTTTGGCTATTGAAGATAGTTTATGGCTACATTTAGGGACTAGATAAACTTTACATTGTTCATTATAATTTAGTCTTGGATTCATTGTGCATCGTTGGAGAAACCATTCGAGTATGACGGGCTGAAACTTCAAACACACGCATGGAACACGATCAATGTCTGCATGCTCATAAAAAGGATGTTGATCACTTGAACAGAATGTTGATTTGAAATATTTCATGGAAAATAACAGTGGTTTAACTAATTCATAAAATTTTAATAGACTATCAGCTTTTTCAGCCACATCTCGCGGTAATGGAATACCAAATGCTGGATACAAACATATAGAAAATAGTTGATTCGATGAATACGGGGTTGGCTCTGTTTTCATTTCTAGTTGAGTATTGAACCATTCTGAATGAGTATCTGCTTTCTCGGTCATTTCTTTGTGAACAGTTAATAGAGTATTTTTCCACAGATGATATGGTAGTTTATATAATTCAGTAGTAGTTTGCATTGTCATTACTTTAAGATCGAAATTTGTCAGATCAAGTTCAGAAGAAATCCGAAGCCGTATGGCTGCTTGTTCTAACAATGGTTTAGATACAAATATATTCCCAATACTTGACAAATATTTATCAGATGCTCGTTCTTGTTCTTTTTCAGCAATTATCTCTTTGATTTTCATTCCATCCACATAGTCACCGTCACGGGGTAATTTTAACTTAAAATTCCATTTTAAACGAACAAATCCGATAGAATCGTTGATTTCTTCTAGATATGATTCATTCAGTAGTGTGCCAACTATAAGCATGGTATCACTTTCTATGGCACCATCAGCTGAATAAAACATTTTTGCAAATGTTTGACCTTCATCTTCGCTGCCCGTAGATATTTCAATCGGTTTGTCTATCGAGCCCTGATTGCTCTCAGTATCATACTTGTTATTCTTTTGAGTAATGTAGACAAAACAAATGAGTGCAACGATCGGATATAATAAAAAAATGATCAAAAACATTTTCTGTCTGTTGACATTTTCTTAGATGTTTGAAATATTACTGTATATAACACTTTTTCATGAGAACGAAAATGAATTCAATTTTTTAAGATTAAAAAAAGTGAAAGAAAGAATGAACTGGTTTCTTCCATCTGTCGTACACGTGTTTTTTTCTCGTTTTCTTGTTTTTTTCTTTTACTTGAAGATCATTAACGTAATACTATAATAATGTCAAGAATGAATCGTAAAAGCAGCAATGATACATTGAAATTCCAGTTGATAAGATGTATCATTTTAATTACTCAGAGTGTTGATGTAGTTTTCTTCGACGAGTATCGAAATAGTTAAAAATTCAAATATCTGACTAAATACAGTTATCCTTTACGATTTTTATAGCAGATGAGAAAATCTGCTGTCACACGATAACCATTAGTATTGGGATTAATGGCATAATCGTCTAGAAACCAACTAGCATTTGTATTGCCGATACCAAATTCTTATAGCGTCTAATGAGCTATACGTATCATAGGAGAACACAAAAGAATAAATAAAGGAAAACGAGGAAGAAGAAAACTACGTAGATATAGACCTTCTTGGAGCTAACATATCCCACGTTCGATAATTTTGTCTAAAATGTTTGAAGTAATATGCAGCAATATTAATATTAATATATAATCTTGCAGATTATGTATCAACCATGCCGTTGTGATTGTAATTCCGTATTATAGGCTAGGTAAATCGTGAGATTATTGGCAACTGCTATTTTAACAGTTTAATAAGTTTCATCAATATTGAGGTACATTAACGATATAACTCTTTTTTGTCATATTTGATCAACCGATATTTTCGTTGACCAATCCCAAGTAATAATCGACGGATGCATAAAACAACGGTACCATAATAAATGCCGATCGTTGTTAAGCAAAATAGAAAAAAGAATTTGTTACTTTAACTTAACTTACGAGTGAATGTCCCAAGTATTCAGTCGCTTTTTCCTTAAAACACGCACGATTGTGGATAATCATTGATACTGATCACGAATCTGATATCCGTTTCGGCCGCTAAGCCTTTCTGCGGTGGGTCTCTGGAATCCAGGTGCCGAAAGACCCACTATGAACTTCCAGCTAAACATATTTTGGCACTACCAGATTGTAGAGCACGTTGAATTACCTATGTGGGAAAATGTTCGGAACTAATGAACCAGTTTTCGCAGAGATAAAAATATTCTAGGGTTCTAAAACCTAAAATATTTTGGTTCCCTACTGGATTAGAAAGTCAAATTTTTCTATCTCTGCGAAAACTTGTTCGTTGGTTCTGAACATTTTCCGATATAGTATCATTACCACTTCTTGTACCCCAGATCTTGAGTTAAGAAATGTCACAAGATCTTGGAAAAAATACCAGATAGTCAAGCTCATGAATCCTTGAATCCTTCGCTCTCGAAGACAAACTTTAAGAGCTTGAGTGAATTCGCTGAAGATGTTGCAAGAGCTTAAGTAAAAAATTTCCTTTACATTTTGTTTTCATTTATGACACCCGTATAGCCATCAGATATACGACCATATAGAAGCATAAATTCTTCCTTAAACAATTCTGTTCAAGAAGGCAAAACATTTGAAGTTATTCTAAGTGTGGATTTAAAGGGTGGGCCAGAAGTCCTGACTCGATTTGAATAATAAATTTTTCTATAGTGAAACAAGTGGTTGTAAATTTGTCTCTATGAAGAAAAGATGTAGTAAAAAAACGCTCT